ATACGCTCACGTCGTCAATTCCTTCGACGAATACAACAAGAATCGATAGGTGACGTTGGCAATCTGCTGGTTGATGTACTCGGCCATTAGCAGCGTTTCTTGGACACACTAAAAAACTTTCTGCCTGATTTTCAAATACTCACCAGCATGTTGGATTGCTGATTAAACATCGGGTCCAACACCTCGGTGTTCTCGCAGGCAAAGTAGACGACCTTGCAGCCTAAAAACGTTGAACTACGTGATGCTACCTTGCTTACGCTTCGGCGGGCAGGGATACTGGGTATGGTAGTTGTTGTCGAAGCCAATATCGCTATCTGCGAGCGCTTGCTTCGAAGTGTTGAACACGCGCTGCGGTTTGTCTGAAATATTTTAAAAGTCTCGGTATAAAAATTGATTAATATTTTTAAAAACCTTGAAAAGTTCGTGGACGTTATTAATATGTCTCATTAAAGAAAAATTAGCTTACTATCGGCCATCTCGACAGCGAATTTGTATGCGTCCGGGAAGTTGCTGTTGTGGGTGTTGTTCTCGGCAAGTACAAACCTAAGGAATTCGCGTTTTGTTTAGTCCTACTTACCACATATCGGCCTGATAGGGAGCATCGCGGAGTACCTTAGCCTGGGCTTTCGTAATCTTCTGATCGTCGGCGGTCAAGCTAAACGCGTTTTACTCTTGATTATTACTATTCTAATTGTTGTTCTTAATAATCTAAGATTTCTTAAACCTACTAGCCGTCAGTCATTGTGATGACGACCCTCTTCGATGTCCGATTGAGTGCCGCGTACGGTTCGGCATCGTCAAAGACCTTCTGAACTGCTCGAAGAGCCCTGAAAAGTATTTTTTAAGTTCTAAAAAAAAGAAAAAGTTTGACAAAAAGCACAAAATTTTAGCTCTATCTTCCTTCCTTTTGAAACTCACGAAGTGATATTGGTAAGTCCGTTGTAGACATAAACATTCGCGGCGATTTGTGCCTTAGCTCCCGCAGCAGTCGTGTACTTATCGAGGCCGAAGAGGATCTAAACATATTACTAAGGCTCGGGAAAGCAGAGCCTCACCTCGGTGGTATAGTCTTCGGGCTTGTCCGGGTCATCGCGAACAGCTTCTCCTCCGTATCCCCCTTTGCCAATTCCACCGAATACCACGACTAAACATTTTTCAATTTCAAAAATAAATTATAGTTTTATAGTACACTTTTAAAGTATTTTAGTGCGTTTTTATCGTTAGTCTAAACGGTTTTAGAACGTACGCATTTTGAAATGTTTTCTCAGTTTCATTTTCTCATCTCATTTTTGAGCAAGAATCAAAAAATCTCTACGTCTACAAAATTTTGTATGAACTTTCTATACTAAAAAAAGAGTGCAAACAGCCATAAAAATGGTGTTAATTTCGACATCGGATCACCAGGTGGTAGCCAAAAGTTCGGTGAAAATCGTCAAGGCTGACCTGAGAATCGGGTGAAAACATCCTCCTCGTCAGGGTTCCGCTCGTCGTACCATTGGAACTGGTCAAGAATGTGGTACCTAGAAAAACATAGAGAAAACAACACTACCTTACGCGACACGCTTCCAGTCGTCCTCGGTGGTGTTGTAGATACTTTGGGTCTCATCGAAAACGAGCACGATGTCGTGGGTCAGGCAAGCGAATGGTTTTGCTGAAAAGCTAATGTAAAAACAGCTTTCACGACCGTGGCTTACATGCAGCAAGTTTTGCGTCATCCAAAATCGCGTCGGAAGCTGGTATTACTTCATTTTTCTCTTCAACGGCAGCGCTGGCGCTGCTCACTAAATCTCTGTATTTCAAAAGCAGATAAGTCCCAACCTGTGCAAACGGCCTGCTTGATGTGATCGGAACTAAAGGCCTTGTAGCTCTCGCCAAAGCCCACAGGGGCAGTGCTAAAAATTGGGGGGAATAGGGGGGTTGGTGTTTTTTTTTTTTTTTTTTTTTTTTTTTTTTTAGTTTTATTTTAAAAGGGGAAGGGGGTTTGGGTTTTTTTTTTTTTTTTTTGGTTTTTTTTTTTGTGTTTTGGAAATCTTGGTAAATATTGCTCCATTGCTATTCTTTAAAGTTTTATTTCCCACCTGAACACGTCTGCGTAATTGTCCAAGATCAAGTCACTCAGCACGCCAGTCACAAAGTAGCCTTGTTGACGCAGCTTGGAAAACTGGAGCTTTAGGCTCTCATCACCGCTAAATTGATGAACGCTTTATTAATCATAACCAGGCCGTAAAAAAGGAAACAAAGCATGGAAAGAATGATTATTATTGATGTAGAAACCTTCTCAGGTCATCTAATAAAACAGAAACCCACAGATGATCAGCAATCAGGATAATGGAGACGGGTCGAGATGAACTCAGCTTGCCTACCTGACCAATTTGCGTGGTCACCTAAAACGTTTCTCGCCCGTTCTTTATTTTTATAAAAATCGACGAACCTCACTGAATCGGATCGTGTCGTAGTTCTCGGCCTCGTTGGCAGACTGGATCAGAGCGATCAACTAAAGACACAAGATGAAAATGAAAACGGATATACCGCAGTACGGGCAGTGTCCAGGGTTTGATCTGGAGGGGCCAATTTGTAGAGCACTGTTGTTTCGTTATCTTCCCCGTTTGTGGCAATAAGCGCAAAGCTAGACCGGAGATGCTATAATCATTTTCATGGAATACCGGCTTTGCGGGTTGGAATCTTGCTCCAAGGCGTTATCGAGCGCGTCCCCCAGAGCGTCAACTTTCGCTTGCAACTCATCGGCAGACGCTGACGGCGCTAGCGTGTCGACGACAAAAATGTAGTCGCGTGGACCAACCTCCGGGCACCACCCTGTAAAATTCAGATTTGTCAGAAATCATGGAATTTTTGGGGCTGGTTCCTTAATGGGGGGGGCAGGGCGACACTAATTTACCCTATTCAGCACGATCCCCATATTAATCAATACATATATTTGAAAACCATTACTAGTTTATGATTGCTCAAAAGCACATCAAAAACGTTGATACGTTTGAACAAGTTAGATTTTTGAAAATGATTTTCGTTTTTTCGATGTTCATGAGCTATTTATATCTGAAAACAGCGTAAAATTCTATTGAAAAGATTTATTTTTCTTGGAAGGATTATTGGGAAAAATTGTTTTTGTCCCCTGGGATCATCCGCGAACGAACCAGCGCCCAGAAATAGTATAAATTGGAACACCCGGATACTTACATGATACCGGAACCGCAGTGGTAGGGTCCTGGGGTTTGCTCGTCTTCGTAGCGACCGTTGGCACTGTTGGTGTCTTGGTGGGTGTGATCGGGGCCGATTTCTGGCATACATCCGACACAGAATCAGTCCCTATTTGATGTTTTATTACAGAACGCGCCTCTCACCTCCAATTTGCAGATTCTTCAGTGCATCGGCCGACACTTTTTGGACGTCGCTTGCCTTCTGCGAGCCCTTTAGAACGACAACACCCTTGTAGACGCCGTTGGGTCCCCTGCATCGCGTGTGAACAAGAAAAAAAAAATTTTCTTATACCTTTGCACTCCAATATCCCTGACGGTGTATTTTGCATCCTTGAAGGCTTTTTCAAGCTGAAAGGGGAAGATTTATTGACTATTCGGCTGCCTGTTTTTAAGATCTAGAACTAGCACGAGAGACCTACAGCGTCTGAAGCTGCCGAATCAGAATCGAAAGTCCCCTCGAACGATGTAATAAAACCCGAACTTTTTGCTGAAATGGCCGCGGATTCGTTGCCTACCAAAAACCTTACTTTGTTTTGTCGCGAATAAAATAATGAAAATTATGGATAGTAGTAAAAGGAAGGCGGATAGTCCGGCGAGAACCACCCTCACCAAGTCGAATCGAGCCATCGGCCGCTCTGCAAAAAAATTATTAGACGTTACGCTGATTGTATCTGCGGTGGAAATTGTGAGCCGCAGGCTGACCACACTCCTCCAAGGCGGTTCCTTATCGTGCCGGATTAAAACATTCTCGCCTATTTGCGATTCTTTCTTCTAGGGCTAGTCATTTTTAAGCGGATTGCAACGCCCCCCTATCATGCCAGTGTCTCATTGGCATTCAGAAGAGCCGACGAGTCATCCTGTGCAGGAGCCTGAGCCCTGCCAGAGTCTGAGAAAGACGGGAGGATAGTAAGAGCAAAGCCACGATATCGGGAGTCACCCCTAACAGGCAAATTGTTACTACTCGCATGCATTACCCACGCACGGCCTCTTTAAACCAGAGCGGATGCTAAATGTATGCTTATCAACGTATCCTGCGACGACAACGACGCTGCTAATCCTCTTGCGGCGCCAATCAGCGACTAATCGGGCCAAGTCCTTCCAGAAAATGGAGGCCCTTCCTGTCATCAAGGTTGTACCGGAAATGACGCTTTGTAAAACTAACAGGATTTACTACATCATATCAAACACAAGAACCAGGACTACAGTTGGGGGCCACTTTGGGTACATATTATAAGACACTTTTTTAACGCTTTTTCGACTGTTTCTGGGGTAGTTTACGCTGAGTGCAAAGAGCTGCAACAGCAGCGAAACGGTTGGGTTTAACCAGAAAAACAGTGTAAAAATTTATTTATAAAAGGTGCACTTATGCGCAATTTTAGGCTTGCCGCATTCTCAGGCAAGGTGGGCCGTCGCTTCGGATGGGCTGCCGCCCCTCTTTCGAAATCAGGCGCCGCGCTACGCGCCTCGGGCGCCCCGATTTCGAAACCCTGTACGAGCTCGCACCCATCCGAAGCGACTAGGCCCCGGGTGGCACGAAGCCTTAATTTTAGGCTCAAATTGGGTGTAAGCATTTCTAAATCTTAAAAACGTTTAGATAATTGTGTTTTACTACGCTGATTTTGTTATATCAGAAACCAGCACGAAAAACTAGCCTAGAAAGACTGAAAAGTCGAAAATCAAAGTGGCCCCCCCCCCAACTTGATAAGTGCCGAAGCCAGCAAGGGAGGTTTTAAATAATTTTCGAGGTGGGGTGCGGAGTAGATCACGAGTTAGCCGCCCTCATTAGTCCCCTCGAGGAAGGCCGGCGTAGAGTTGATCGGCGCGATTCTGAAAAGCAACCATCCCGATTTTAAATCCCGGAACAGCAAAACTCACCAATAGGTCGGAGAACGTGGAGAATCTGCGCTCGAATTCGTCGATTGCATCAAGCATCCCCGCCCAATCAATCATATCGGCTGCCTTGTCCAAGGATTCACAAGCGGCGATGAGTTCTTCCATGGACACGCCGGCCTAAATAGTCGTATCAGGAAACATCCAAGGACGGCCAACCTCACTCATCGTCTCGGTGTAGTTCTTGGCACTTTCGATGAGCTGTAGCGCGCGGGATCCAGTCTTTTCCTCAGGTCGCGTGCCGGCGTGACCCTAGAAAAACAAATTAAGACCAGGCATAGATCAGTTAGTAAGCAAACAAGTAAGTGAGGAGAAATTAACGGAAAATTCAGATAGCGGAAACTCACAATTATCTCTTGTATTCTGGAGCCCAGATCGTTTAGGCCGAACTGCTTTGACACCTTCGCAGCCATTTTCTTTCGAAACTGCGCCCTAAATAAAAGCCGCTATCTATGCAAAGCACCCATACCTAATCGACATGCAGCGCTTCCGGGAACTTTCATAGCACGTAGACGACCGCTTGATCAACGCTTCTTGCTAAACGCCAGTTGTGAAGTCTCGAGGAATTCTACTTGTGCAAGTTGTTCAATCGTTCCTGGTTCGGGATCTCTTCTAGTCTTCGATATAGGGGTACCCTTCTTCGGCTCTACCGACGGCGCCACTTTTGAGGGCATCTGTAATGCGCAATTTGTAATGATGCTACGTCAAATCATTAACAACCGCCGCCAAGAGTCTGCAATAAGTTTGGTAGTGTTGAACCTCGCGTATTGCAGTGCCAAATAGCAAACAAACTTTTATTTCGTGAGAAAATAACGTGTTAAAGCAAGCGAACAACAAATGAATAAGTGCCAAGCGACGCAATAAAGTTTTTTTTTACATCAGATGGTGGGCATCGGGGCGTGGTATTTGCCGTCACCGTGGTTCTTGTAGAAGCTGTACGACTGGTAGTTGGGCTCGCGGAGGAAGGGCTCCGAGAGGTCAGCAGACTTCTTGTGATGCCTAAAATAAAGGTGAGTCGATAAAGAATTTATGTACTTCAGGTGATTGTAGAAGGAACGGGTGATGATCAGCTCCCAGATGCCGACGATGATCAGCACCGCCAGGGTGAGCATGGTATCCATATCATGTCGGCGGCGCATCGTGATCCTAAACACGAGAGATGAAGGCAAAACATCCACTAACATTTCATTGGGCACCACCTCCTTCGAAGGCATCTTCCAGAACAGGAAGATGATCATCACCACGAAGGTCGTGATGGAAAGTGCCTAAAGAATCAACTAAGTAAAAATTTAAAATTAATTTGTGATACAACGAATAACAAGCATTAATTCGAAAATGACTACCTGAAGCCAGTAGGTGACCTTGGTCATCTTGGCACAATCCTTAATCACGGCGATACCCATTACGACGCAGATGATCGCGCTGAATATCAGCAGACCAAACTAAAAAGACAGCTTGTAAACACAGCCCAGTTATTACCCAGTAAGTTTCATCCAGATCATCGAACGACCAGATCCACGCCGTCACGGCGAGCAGGAACATGCGGAGGCCCCAGAAGGCCAAAGCCGCAACCTAGGAAATGATACAGTGGCGTTTGCACAAAATTCACCTTGCAATGCACGAGACCGCAACAGATTCTGTCGGTTGACATCTTTCTAAAACGCAGAAGTACACCGGGGAAAAGAGGGAATGCGAGCTATTCACCGGGAAAAACAACGATGCTTGGGCGAAATTTTCGTGTCAGAAGATGAAAAGTTTGCACAAAAAAGGAATTCCAATCTAGTTGCCGAAAAATTCGAGTTTTCAAAAACCGGTCAAGAACAACTTGCCGGGCAAAAAGCCAGATCGCCGCGGGACTCGACTCCACGGGGCTACGCCTTTCGGAAATTGGCATTAGTACATTCCGGAATACAAAAATAAAGTTTTTCTAATTTTCTATTGTTGTTGTTCTAAATCTTAAAAATTTGTTCAACAAGAGTAAAAATAGCATTGCTTTCTTAAAACTTTGACCTGCGATATTCTGCTGGGCATCTTTCAACGTGTAACTTTTCGTTGATGATGTCAAAATCATTTTCAGCGTGACAGTCCCCAGATCAATTTAAGAAAAGCCATTTATCACCGCAACCATCTTGGCGAACACATGTGAGCCGAGATTGACTAGATCAACATACCGGAAAGACTCGTTCATTCATACAAGCGCAATAACGTTCAACTTTGGGCAATGTGTGGGGAATTTCTGGAATTGTGCGAGGGGAATGTAGACGCAACGGGATAAGATATTTATGTACAAAACAGGTGATTCCTCTTGGTTCTAGGGCGAATCAATTCGCTCTAGACTAATTGCTGGGTTGATATAGGAAGCGTTCATATGGTCTTTTGGGGTGTCCGATTGCGCGTTGACCTGGGACCCTTTGCCGATTGTCCCGACGGCCACATGTGGCGAATCGTCGCCGTCCACGCTTGCGTAAGAGGTGTTCTTCGTGAATCTGATAGGCCATTTACATCTTTTTGTTCGCTAGATCTCACCTCGCTCCCATAGGGCGCTCTTCGACGCTGTGCCGGATACCATAGAGCAGATAGATCGCCATCCCTAGATGTAATCGTTCTGGACTGTTAGCGGGGGGGGGGCTATCCTAGCTCCTAAAGTTCTTAGCGTGGTAGAGTGTATTATTGTAGTGTTTTTAGTGGTTTTTGATTACTACAAAGTCATGAAAAATTTAGAAAATCAAAAACGTTCCAAACTCCGCTATCAGTCCAAAACCCTGTCATCTGTCGTCTCGTTTGACTGGCCTACCGATCGCCATCCATATTACCAGCCGCACCCAGGTGATTGGCGCCAAATTGAGCATCATGATGATGTTGATCAACAGCGAGACAGCCGGGATCACGGGTACGAAACGGACCTGAGAATAATTTGTGGATTTAATCTCCAACTAAAAAAACTAAAACCCACCTTGAAAGCCAACGCTGTCCTATTCTGTTGGTGCGCCGCAATGAAGAGGAGTGAAAACAATGAGATCAAGACGGTCAGCACCGTCAGCAAGATACCGTACCATGTTTTCTGAAGTGGGGGGTTTGACTGGGTTGCGAACATTGGAATTTTTGACTGCTACCACGTACCGTCATGATTCCTGTAGACAAGCAGAGGCCAAAACCAAAAAAGGCGATCGTCATCACCACAAGGGCATATATTACGGCTTTGCCAGGTTGCATATCGGCGAGAGCTCCATGGAACGGGACCCAATGCCGTAAGCGGCCGCCTGAATGTAAGCTGGGGATATTTCCCTCGAAAGCTCTAAACTTTTTCTACGCGGTACTGGACTGTTAACGGGGGGAGATTTCGCCTGCCTTTTTGGGGCTTTAGACTGAACCAGGGTTGAAAAACCCCCCCGGCCTTTTTCCCCGGCCCCGGCCCGGGGCCGGGGGGGGGGGGATAGATTTTTTTTTTTTTATATAAATAGGGGAGGGGAAAAAGGAAAAAGGAATTCTTCTTTTTTTTTTTTTTTTTTTTTTTTCGTTGTTAGTCCCGCTATAAAGGTAAACCAAAAAAAAAAATAAAAAAAAAAAAAAAATTTAAAAAGTAAAAAAAAAAAATAAAAAGATTATTTTTTTTTGGTTTTGGGATTACTTATTTTAAATACTTTTTCCCCCAACCCGAGATAAGAAAAGACCCGGGGGGGGGGGGGGGGGGGGGAAAGAGGGGGGAATTTGTTGGGGAGGGATGGAGGGGAGGGGGGAAAAAAGAAATAAATAATAAAAAAAGGGAAAGAGGGGGGGGGGGGGGGGGGGGGAAGGGGGAGGGGTAGGGGGGGGGCGGGGTAAGGGAAAGGCAAAGGGGAAGAAAAAGGGGGAAACGGGGGGGGGGGGGGGGGGGGGGGGGGGCGGGGGGGGGGAGGGCGCAGGGAGGAGGGGGAGGGGGGGGGGGGGGGGAAAAGGGAAAAAAAAAGGGGAAAAAAAAAAGAAAAAAAAAAAAAAAAAAAAAAAAAAAAAAAAAAAAAAAAAAAAAAAAAATATAAAAAATACACACCCTTCCATAACTTTTGATGGCTTTTAGTCTTAGGTATAGAAAGTTAATAAAAAGAGTGGGTCTTCAGAAATACTTTTACTTTTTGGTCAAAAAGGGACGGAAGCCATCAAAAATTGCAAAGTTTTCGAAAATGTCTAAAATTTCATGATGTTTTATATTAAAAAAACTACCAAAATGCGATAAACTACACATTAAAAAGCGAAAAATATGGTCAGATATCTATAGGCTAGCTTCTCCCCCCTCCCCCTCGCTAATAGCCCAGTACCGCCGATGCTACTGCACCCCAATCTACCTTCATCCATATCTTTTGTCGAATCACCAAGCGGTGCCGGCTGATAGCGCAGCACGATGACACAAGCCGAGACGATGGAATATGCCAGCAGAGTTCCTACAAAAATCGAGGTGAGTTTTCGGTATCTGCAATCACCGATGGACAAAAATTCGACCAAAGTCTCGATGTCAAACAGCAGCGCTATGATGGCGACCATCGTGGAGAATATTGCGACGGCGTAGATTGGGATCTGAATGGATGCAATTCAGACGGTGCTTTTTTTACGAATTACTGTCATTTTTCATCAACTGATTTATTTAAATTCATTTTTAATAAAAAACGGGCTAAATGCCCTAGTTTCGTTACGGAATTTTTTTCTGTGATTGGTAAGTTTTAGGAAAAATGAACATACCTTTGTTGACTGGTTGACCTTGCCTAGGAACGCGAACAACAGCCCGTCGCTGGCCATCGCGTAGACACATCTGGGCAGGGCGAAAATGCTGCCGACCTGTAACGAGGAGCCATAGGACTCACCGATTTTCTAGCCCTTTTTGTTTGACAAATATTCATTTTATTGAACTAACAAACCAAACTCGTCGTCATACCACACAATGCGCCCAATGACACAGCGAATCGGGCGACGGTGGCGTGCTTCAGGGCGAATGCATCGGCAAATGCCGCTGTGGGATGGACCTAAAAAATGCCGGTGCTTTTGCGTTATCCGGGGGGGTATCTATATTTTTAAGCTATGTTCCTATATGCCTAATAACATAATGACAAATATCTTAATGGAGTTGTTAGTGAAATTTAACGCTGTTTCACGACCTCAATTTAACGGGACCTACCACATTGTAGGGGATCATCAGCGTCAACGAGGCCGACATCAGCACGTAGGCCAGCGTGACGATGGACATCGAAACGAAAGTGGCCACCGGAATCGAGCGTGACGGGTCTGAAAAATGGCGTTTAACGGTCATTGTGGACACGAAACTTTTTGCTTCCTCCCCGGCAGTTGCCAACCCATCAAAGCCGATGTAGGCGAAGAAACAGGAGGCGGCCCCGGATAGCATTCCCTGCACCCCAAATGGGAAAAATTTCGATTGACCCTTCGAGGTTGTGCCTGAATTTGGAATTGTCAGGAAAACGCCAAAACCCGACAACCAAAATAACGACCTGCAAAATCTCTGTTTAAAAGAGGGTGTCATTCAAAGTAGCGTCAAAAATCCGTTGGGTTTTTGGCTGTCGGTATTTTAGCTGTCGGGATTATGGCTGGAACTCGTAGCTAATGTCCCCAGAAAAGCTCACCAGTCCACAATCCAAAGTCGGCGAACGACATACCATACCCGACCACGATCACAACCACCTAAATTATTGTATTTTTTATGATAGATATTTTCGCATTTTATTTTTCATCTACTCGTTTCAGCTTACCACCAAGTTAATCACGGTGAAGATGTTGTTGAACATTGTCGACGTCTTCGAGCCAAGCGCGATGAAAATCTGAAATCAAAATCGTCTTTTAAAAATATCGATTCCCTACCGCAACGATAATTACGATCAGGAATGCAACAAAATCCGGGTATTCTCCGAATACTGTACTCTGAAAACGAATGAAATTTTGACAAAAGGAGGAGCAGCGCATCCCACTAAAGGGACCGACAAGGCAAAACAGCTTACATCTATCACTCCCAGCTCCGACTCTGTAATGTTGCGAATCCGGTTGCCCAGTAGGGAATCCAAATAGCCGGACCAAGAGCGAGCGACGGCTAAAATATGCTATTTTTTATGTGCTCGAATAATTTTTACCTGCCGCGCCCAGCATATGCTCCAAAATTATGTTCCAGCCGATAATGAACGCCCACAGCTCGCCGATTCCCACGTACGCGTACGTGTAGGCGCTACCCGCTTTTGGGAACCTGGAGAAGAATTTTTTCTACAATCACAAATAATAAATAATGACTAATATTGATATCTATCAGGTTGGAAAGAAAGTAATGGCACAAAATCTTTAAACCGCTGTAAAATCCCGCAGGAACGTCCGACTTGAAAGATTGATATATGGTTTGGTAGATCTTCGGGTGCCCTATCACAAGACGACCTTCAAAGCACCCAAAAACTGACGTACGCGAAGATACAGGCGTCAGAAGTTTCGCAGAAAATTGAGTGAAAGCTTTTAAGCGAGATATCTCTGCATACAAGCATTTGCATACGATACCTTTAACCAATCGAGAGCTCTCGAGGGTAGATATCGATAGATGTTGAGATCATAAAAATCGGACACTGCAGGGCCGAGATATGGCTCCTAGAATTTTGGTCCACCTGTTAGAACTTTTCTCGAAATCCCATACATTTTGGCCTGCGCGAGCCAAATACTGCTGCGTTTGCTTCAGCTCCCGAACCAAAATCCAGAAAATGCATTGATTTTGGAGGGCCCATATCTCGGCCATGCAGTGTCCGATTTTGATGATCTCAACATCTATCGATATCTACTCCTCGAGAGCTCTCGATTGGTGTTAAAGGTATCGTATGCAAATGCTTGTAGAGAGATATCTCGCTTAAAAGCTCACTCAATTTTCTGCGAAACTTCTGACGCCGTATCTTCGCGTACGTCAGTTTTTGGGTGCTTTGAAGGTCGTCTTGTGATAGGGCATCCGAAGATCTACCAAACCATATATCAATCTTTCAAGTCGGACGTTCCTGCGGGATTTTACAGCGGTTTAAAGATGTTGTGCCATTACTTTCTTTCCAACCTGATAGAAATATTAAATTGATAGATAACGATAAATATTTACCTCGCCCCGAATTCTGCATAACAAAGTGCGGACAACAAAGAAGCAAAACCGGCCAATAAAAATGAGAGTACGATGGAGGGGCCCGCTGTATTCCTGACAACAGCCCCTGAATTCCTATGTCATCAGCGTCGTCAAGACGTACCTGTCAACACATAAATCCCGGCTCCAATCATATGCCCGACGCCGAGAAGCGTGATGTCAAAAGTTGTTAAATTCCTATGGGACGATCGGATGTAGGTTGAAATTACTTACCTTTTCAGCTGTGTTTCTAACTGACCGGTGGGGATATTTTTCCGCCGGAAAAAGCGCTCCCGATATGTGTAAAGCCGCATTGCTGAAGGTTCAAGTTATCTAAAGTACTATAAAAGCGTGGCTGGTTATACAAAATCTAAAACGACATATTCTGGAAAGGAAGGAGGTGTTCGGAAAGGCTTGCAAGCTGCCCTGATTAATTATTAAAAGCAAAATCCGCAAAGTCAGAGGCCAACGCCGATTTTGGTGCGCGATGGGCGGGGACTAGCGGGGGTCCCCCGCTTTCGCGCATTTGTTTGCTCGGCCTGAAAACGTTTTTCCCGAAACCCCGTCGAGTAGTGGAAAGAGCAACGGGACCCGAAGAGGAGCAAGAGACGTGAAGCACGTGTCAACCCGACGATCGTCGAGCATCGCTTGATGGCGCGGATTGATCAAGCATCTTATCGGGCATCTTTTAGCATCAACAAGCTGCTTTAACGTTTGGTTTCGAAAAACGTAATGGTTCTGGACTGCTTGCGGGAGTGGAAACCTTCCAACCTTCGCATAATGCCTAGGGCTACATTGAAGTGTAGAAAGTTCATAAAAAATCATAATCAAATTTTCGATAAAAAGTTTTACTTTAAGTAAAAATGGATGAAAATATGCTTTAGAACTTTTCACCAGCAACAACGACAAAACGCACTATCAAAATGCCCTCCACTACCCAAACGTTTATGCTATAGAGGCTAAATAGCCCCCCTCCGCCCCGGTAGCAGACTAGTACCAAATGGAAATTCCAAATATTTAAATTTTTCGCTCAAGCAGCTTTCGGCGATCCTTGGTACTGGAGCATGTATTATCGTCTACTCACTCGACAAGGGTTTCACTAGTCAAAGGCAAACAATGAAACAGTTGACCCGGTGTGGAACTCTGCCAAAAAAAAATTGCCAGAAGCCCCCGAACGGGCGCAAAGCTGGACGAGCTCAATTAGGGAAAAAATTGCAGTCGGCCCAACCCGAGTCACTGCAATGGGTGAAAGGCGCATGTGGGAAAATCGCGTAGCGAGGGCGGGTAAGGGCAAAAGCCTTGGCCGAGCTGTCAATGGCCGGAATGGGGGCTTGGGCACAGGACATGGCCCCCTGCGATTGCATGCTTTAGGATATTGCTCTGAAGAATATCAAGCAAAACAAGTTGTTCTTATCATGTTTCTGAGAAAAGGTTTCTGGTTTCTCGGCCGTTAATACAATGTTGCTCCTTTGATAGGCACCGATTCCAAATGCAAATAAACACGTTTGATAGATGTTTCCATCAGGATGACATGGGTATGGCCTCTCGGTGGTCTCCCTAATAGCGCACAACATACCACAACAGTCCAATCCCATCGGGTGGGCTGGCTATAAAGGAGGTAATTATCCGGCCACTGTGTGTTTGCGACCGGATTAACCCGTCAAACAATACGAAACAGTTCGGGCAACGAAAAACACCAGGTTGTGGAAAGCGGAAACTGATAAAATGTCATTTTGGGTCCCCTCAAATGTGAAATAACGAAACTTAATCAATTTTATTTCCTAACACTACACAACGGAAACAAGGCCCTCTCTTGGGAAATTTCTTCATATATATGCAAAAGTAAACCCGTCATTTGTTGATGTGCTGATGATGCTCGAGGATGAAGTCCGAGGCAGACTGCTTGACCGTCTTGTGCGCTGCGAATTCCGGGTCGAGAAGCTGAGCGTTTGCCATTCGCGCCGGCTGCCATGTGAACGGCGTCCATTGCCCTTGTATCGACGGAGCTGTGGAAGATTGTCGCCCCTGAAAGAAAAGGATGAAAACCCTGCGAAACATTTCTTTTAATTATTAGTCATCATTAAAAAATTATGACATGTCGCATCGTAAATGCCATTCCTACCCCAACAGAGCATACTATATTTTGCTTATGACCTTGCAGCTTTCCTCTTCAGATTTTTCCAAGGGGTTAAAGTTCCCAATTTTAGCTCAAACACACGTCAAAATACCCCATATCTTTTGAAACTTTGCCAAAATGTAATTTATTAAAAGAGGTGCGGAATAAGCTAAAAATTCGGCACCAAAAACTTTTGGTCCGAACTCGAATTCCCATCCTGAGTAAAAACCCTTTACTGTTAGCTACTTCAGAGAGCATTAAAAACACCAGGAAACTTGCCTCCAATTTTACAATCGGTAAGCCGGAACGCGAAAGAATTAGCCGAACATCTTTCTCGATCTCCTCCATCGACAGTCCAGTGGCTTCCCTGAAACGAAATAATGAAACACGGAAATACCCACATCTGAACAATTCGCCCATTTGCGTATTCTGCGCGGATTGTCGGGTTCGAGTTTCTTATTGGCTGGGTGTACAACTAAAGTATCGATCACAGTCACCTCATCAAAATTCACCACGCAAGACGGATGCCTTTCTGCCATCGAAATCAGGCGTTCTTCGACGAAATTCCTTACGCCCACGCTCCCTTCACTTTGTTTGCAGAATCTGGAACAAAATTAGGTATTCACAAAGCCCAAAGGTCTCGTCAAAAGAAAAATGGCCGCAAACCCATACCTGAACGTTATCCGATGAACTTGAGGGATATAGCGGGTGACGCCGTTAAAAGATGGTTGCTTGACATGATCTGTGAACCGCCAGCCGTAGTTTAGCGCCTGAAAATAAACCGAAATTGCCAAAACTTCAACTTTCGCCCACCTTAGGTGCTGAATATATAGTTTTAAGTCGATCCACCCGTGGTAAGGAAGGCATCCCGAGGGATGAATTCTAAATCAAAGAAGGTAATTTGATAAAAGAAACGTAGAAAAAAAAGGCTTTTACACCTTTGTAAAATTTCTTTCCAAAAATCGCCTCATTATCCGAACACGAAATGGAATTCCCTTATTTTGTGGTGGAATGCTAGTGTGTAACCGTGCAGAGAATTTTTATGTAGCTTAGTTGCTCGTGTGCAAACTTTCCGAACCTTTGTAAAAAAAACTGATCAAAAAGCTATAAAAATAATTTTTTTTGCTTAGGATGTTGACTTCCTTCCTCTTCTACCCATCGCTTGGGTATAACTTGCTGCGCAATCGGCTGCAACCGGATAAATGGGCCTGGTAACTTTTAGCTGCTTCTATCGTTTTACTCCGTGTTTTTTTTAGGTATAATCGAATCGACGATGGGTTAGTGCTCGGAGCAATGCCTTTCAAATCAATGAGGGAAGAGCTTGTAAATGTAGGGGCTTGGCTTTTGTTTTACGCCCTGTTTCAGAAGGAGAACATTGGCGGTGTGGTATGCTGCACAGAGCCCTACGAGCTCAAGGCGGCTTGGAGTGCAATGAATGCAGAGGACTGGAAGGTTGGAAAAAGCTTATCTTTCTTAACTAAGTTTAGGAGCACGGAGTCCGTTTCCATGCCATCCCCATGCATGATTTTGTTGGGACTGCTGCACGCCCAGAATTGATCGAGGTGATCGTTTTTCGATCCGTCTAATTCTTCCAGGCGGTCGCTTTTATGAATGATGTCAACAATAGCGGCAAATCAGTATATGTACATTGCAAGGTATAGTTTGCGAACTTAATGCTACATTAAGTAAATTGTCATATCATCGTCTAAATATTAAATATTCGTTTTTTTAGGCTGGCCGAATGCGCTCTGTTACCGTGGCCACTTGTTATGTGATGCAAAAGAAGAACTGGCTCCCGAATGTGGCCTTTGAATTCATCAAAACTCATCGGCCGCAGGTAATTGTCCTTGCCGCAAAAATTATCAAGAATTAGGCCTTGCTACGGAGCACCCAGTGGCGGACAGTCAACGAATATCGGCGGTATCTGGATTCCCACCCTTCAACTTCCGCTTCTCTTTCATCTTCATCATCTTCGCGATCTTGCTAATATCGTTACACCTGGGTTATTTATGAGCTCTTCAAGGGAATAATCTTTCGGCTGCCACAAAGCAGCATCAGCTTAACACGCTCCCTTCTCGTAATCTGTAATTTGTTGCTGTTTTTTGTACAGACTAGCGCTTCGTTACATGTTTAGGTGATTTTTGTTGATAAATTTCTGTAATTTGTGTACCACGCAAAAGTACAGTTGAGGCTAAGCATTACATCGAACCGAGGTCATTGCCCTTGTGAAACAAAACGGCGGCACTTGTTTGATTTTAGTAGATAAGGGCGTCCCCCGCACTCTAACTGGTCCTTCGATGTGGTTCGGTCGAGCCGGCCGTGGCAGCAGAAGACCGGTTGCCGCCAGCGAGCTCGGTGCGCATGTAGGCCCTATGCCTCGTCGTCAGAGCTCTCCTTTACAATCGGTTCGTTCCCAGCAGTTTTAACATAGATCCTTTCGTGAAAGCGCTATCTTTTTATTAAATGGAAAATGGATATATTGTTTTTCACGCTGTTTTCGTGGGTACTAGCTTTCACAAATTGTCTGTATCAATCTTGCTCTTTTATTTGCTTGATTTGGTACTACTATAGGCTCCACGGCCTGCTTATCATGTTATTGTGGGGTATGAATCCTTTGCAAGGGGTCAGTTCCGGGCTGGCCGCGGTTCCGTGTTTGCGTTTCTTTCTAGGGGACGGGACAAAGCATTCTGTCCCTCCCTCGTTGTGTCACACCCTGGACCGGGCGTTTTTCGCTTGCGACGGCTCTAAAGCAGCTCTTCTCACCGAATCGCTTTATTCGCTTTGCCTACAGATGAAATGCGTTGATTTTAGGAGCAAAGTCAAGAAGCTATGCGCGAGAAGGAGGGTTTATCCGGCTCTACAATGTTGCAGCGTTCAAGGAGTGATTGCGGCAATTTTGGGGACAGGGTGAGTTGTTCTTAATGTAGATCAGTTATGAGTAATTGTTCCGGCTGCTCCGGTTTATGTATCGGCTCTTGGCTTATCGCTGTGCGTACTTTCATTGACCGACAATTCCTCGGGGTGGAAATTCCTCCTTACTATAGAAGAAGTTTTTTCTTATTTTTCGATTTCTCTAAAATTAAAGCGGGCTTGTTTCTAGGCTGATTTTTGCCATCGCGATCGCTATGAGATATACCAGAAATTTATTAGGAAATCCAAAAACTTGATTTATCGACCGGAAGATGCATTCCTTAACGTGTTCTAGATACCTTTCCTCCTCAAATAAAACTATTTTTTTGCAAAAAAAAGTATTAAATACTGACTATTCTACTATACATATCCTGATGAAGGTGAAAATCGAAACCCCCCCCCCCCTCCCCGGAAATATCAAATCCGTTCAGCTCCATTTTGCAAATGCGCTTGTGAAATCCGTGTGAAGCTGTTATCCGACCGGTCGTTTTCCCAGAAAAGTAGGTCTAGGCTGTGTTTGGGAGGAGGTCCCGTTCGGGAATGCATTGGTCCGCCGTGGCGGCAGCAGACACATCATGCCCCTCGCCCTTTCTTCTTGCTCTTCTTCTCATGTGGTGGATGTGCGAGGAGGAGGCTCTCCTCCCCCTTCATGCTCCTCCAGTCACACAAATCGATGCGCTCAGTGCCAGAAGCCTCTTCATTTGCCCCCCAAGGCACACCCACCGCATATGGCCAGATGGATGGCGAAATTTGGAGTAGCACTAACAGCCCGGACATCTGGATTTGTTAATTACGCTGGTTACTAGAAGAAATCATTTGTTTTACTTCGATACTACCGAAAAATTTTTGTTTCGGGATTTTGTTTGAACTCTACCCTTTCGTCTATTATTTGCCCAATTTGACACCGACACGCTTGCGAGCTTCCCGTTTTGGCAGTATAAGCGGATAGTTTGGTTGGCTATTTGCGCTTTCCCGCCTCCCTCTCCCTCCCAATTGCCAGCTTATAGCCATTTCTCTTCCGATTGGTTGCTCGCAGCCGGTTTTTTGTCCGAGCTGCGAATCGTTCTTAAATTGCCACACCGGTCCGCTAGGTCTGTTTTGTTCTGCTGAAAAGACTGACAAAGGGTTTTTTGGTGTTTGACAAATTAAAATTGATCATCATAAATTTTTGAGAGGTTGATTTTCGATATGTTGGTTTTCGAGATCATGAAATATTCCCGGCTAGATCACATTGACAACTGTTCCGAGCGCGATCTCCTTCTCCAGCTGGCAATTCGTTTGGTCCCAATTATCCCCTCCCCTCCAATGACTGGCCCAATGTTTCGGCGCACAACTCGTCGCGCTCATTTGACCGGGTCTCTCTGATTGATCACATCGGGAGCAGCATATCGCATCTCAATCCTGTTCGCGCCCCGTTCTTTTTGGCGACCCGGCCATCTTGGAAGTATGGATTTCCGATTGACTGGCTTTTGCCTTCGTTGTTTCCCCTTTCTTTTGCCCGTTTTACCAATTTTAAGCAGATAAATAGAAAGTTATTTTTGAAAGACGTAGATTAGAAAAAATGTATCTGACTATTTTTAACAAAGGCTTTGGGCAACCTTCTTTCTGGTTCATAGTGTAGGCGCCGCGGGGTATTTTGTGTGGGCCTGGGTCTGCCCCAGCAATCCTCCTCGTCCCTCCACCCTTCCGATGCTAATTTCATCCAATTTTCCATGCACGCCCCCGGGACTCGGGGGCCGTGGGGTGTCTATTGCTCGTCCCTCTTTCGAAATACGTTATTCTCCCGGGATTATATCGACTTTTTCATGCTGACTTTCCGTAAAAAACGCTTTTCTAGGTTCTAGTCACTTGATTTTTACCTGCCGGTTTATTTTTGAAATTATAAGCTTTTTATTGATGCCCTAAAACCGCACTTTTCAGCTGGACAAGGCACTGATTCTTGACGTGGCAAGCGTCGGCGGCGCCAGCAGCTTGCACGATGAGGAGAGCGACATGGAGATGATCGAGTCGGACCGCAGTCGAGCCTCCACCCGTGAATTAGATGACAAGAGCCACGACTACGAGGATTCTTGTGCCAGCAGCGGGTACTTTTTTTTGCGTGAAATCATTTATTTTTCTCCTAGGGTATCTGCCTCCTCCGCTACCAGCATCATGTCGGTTGCTGGTGATGAGGCGATCCGGCGGCTCGAAGAGGAATTACGATTGGTAAGCTAAAAATTCTTTGGCTCGAAGATTTTTTACGTTTATAGACGCGTCTCGCGCTTCTTGAGAAAGAAGAACGATGCTCCCGCCTTTCTTCTATGCAAAATACCGTTGACACCGAAGTGCACGAGCTGACTGAAAAGCTTTTCCAGGTACCGGATCGATATTTTAGCAAATTTTTCCTTGTAGGAAGCTTACAAAATGGTGAACCTGGCTGAAGAACGGCGCGAGAAATCTGAGCGCCTGCTGAATGAGAGCAGGATGAAGGTGGCAATGACCTTAAATCATTGAAATCTCTCTCTCTAGGTTGATGTGCTGCAAGCCGAAGTTGAAGCGTTGAAATTATTAGTGGGCACGCCGGGAGCTGCCGGGCAGCATCACACCGCTGCCAAGAGCGCAAAGGGAAACGTGTTCTCAAAGATTCTGAATACATGTAAGTTTCTCGGTTTTCTGGCTCCTGGAAATCTACCACTAATTCGAAACCCATGAATTCCTGTCTTTCTTGATCTTTCTCTCTCGCTGACGCCCTGTCCTCTCACGGCTTCCCTAACCCTCGAACCTAGTGGTGGGACGCGCGCCGACCCCAACGGCCGATAACCCACCAGCCGGTAATACACAATCCCTGTCTTGTACTAACCGTATCCTTGCGTATCCAGTGATTCGTGGATAACCCCCCTTCTGCGCCGTTTGTGCATTTCTCAGTCGTGGTCTTTTAGTTTCAAGGAACTCCGAATTTCAAGGAGGTACGGGGAATTCCGGATCAATACGATCAGTAGAGTCGGAATTTTGTAAAACTGTCAGTCCGGAATTTCGCGTATTGTTGATCGTTTAATAAGATGTATGTAATACAGACTCTTTTAGCTAATCATCCCGGTCATCAAAAGAAGAACTGGCAGCTCGAGGAATCGGTGCCTGCTTCGAAGAAGTCGTCTAGCTTGCCGAACCCAAGCCGCGAGCAGCTAGCCCGACTGTGTAGTGATGGGAAAGAAGAGCCGGATTCTACCGAAGAGGTGAGAATTTGGAAATTGGTGAGAATCAGCGAATTCCTAGATTGATCCGGTGTTCTATCGCGAATTCGTCGAGTGGCGGGACGCAGGGCATCCGCTGAACTGGCCTGATGTAAGCAGCACTCCCACTACTAGCGACCCGGAACCATCGCAAATCGTTGCCTTCATCACGCGCATCCATAAAGAAGACGTCGATCCCTGTCTGCGATTTGACAATGATGATGTAAGTGTGTAGGCTCTAGAATATTTTTATCCTTGCGATTTTACTTTATTACTATTTTTAACTATTTTACTTTATTCTTATTTTTCAGCTAGCCACCAGCCTGCTGACGGCTATTCTACAAAATCGAATCGAGATCGAGCAAGTAAACGAGGATAAGCCAAATGTTCGGTAGGTATATCTTTCTGTGTCACCAATTCAGTTTCAGGAATTGTTCCCTAACATCGGTGCCTCGGTTTTGCCCTTTCCGCGCTCGGGCCTCCGCCGACGATGAATGGCATTTTATATCAGTTCTCGCGAGGAACAGGGTAGGTTTTTCCGGACAGTCGACCCGATTTTTCTGGCTTCATAAGCTCGAAATTTCAACATCACGAAATTTTTGGCGTAGTCTTTGGGGCTCTCCCGAGATTGAGAGAAATGTCGACCTTACGAAATCCTCATTTCTGACTCTAAATCGAATTTTCTAGATAGCTGCCGTGTGCGATTTCCACACATATCTTCGCTATGTTTCGCTTGGCATCGTGCGGTCCGGGCTTCGCGACATGTACTCCGACATCATCGTGCTGCGAAAGAACATGGCGCTGGCCCGGCTTGGCCTCGGTTTCGTTCCCAAGACCACCGACCGCACTTAAATTTTCTAAAAAAACTGTGTATCAATCCACTAATCTCCCACTTTTTTCCACGGAGTGGACCCAAATCAACTAAAAAAATTCTGTGTATATCTCGCACTTTTTTGTGTAGCTGACTATCTCTATTCACTTCTTTCTGTGCCATATTACCCACGAACTATGCGTCTTATTCTCATTCCCCACCCCAATGCGTGTCATTCCCAAAACGTGTTTGTGAATTTCTGAAATTCCACAATTCTGCATATGTACAACGCTGTGTGTAGTCTTTCTCACCACCCCCACCCATCGCCGATAAGATTCAAACGTTGCCCAAACTTTGCTCTAGTGCTACGGTGCTCTCTGCCTTTGCGCATAAATTATGTGAATCGACGCGGGGCAGGCAAGGGAAAGGCTTTACCGTTCATCAATCTGAACATGAAGTATAATTGAAACAAATAAGTTAGTACGGAAGGGCGGCGCAGGCGGGAGATGCGCTTGTTAGTGGCCTAATCAGCGGTATTCCTAGAAATGGCGAGTAGATAAACGGCTACTACTATTGCGCGGCAAAATGTCTAGTGATCACTGGCCAACACTACCTTGAAAAATACACGCACATGCGCACGAAGTGAGACAGTGGATGATGGGTTGGTGAAGGAGATAGGAAAAGCCGTTTTTTTTGCGTCAAGAATTAGCGAGAAATTTTGGCCCAAAATTAATTAAAGCAGATTGCATCTTCTGTACCATCAGGCCAAAATTTAGAATTTCTAAAATGTACACACCGGGGAAGGATATTCTTTTGGCGAATTAGGTATGGCCGTTGGTGGAGTCGACCGGCTTGGCCTCGGCGGATTGTCGAGCCCGGATCTGGCCGGCCAGCAGCGGGTTGATTGCGTACAACCAGTCGTACATCTGAAAGTTAGGCTCGGTTTGCTTGCTTTTCGGCCTTTTCCGCTCAAAATTAAATCCTTCCACAAACCTCGTCGTTTGCCAATGTCTGCATCAGGAACCCGCGGTGATTCGTCAAGACCGAGAAGGTGTTAGGAACCTAAACATTTGTTGCAAGATTAGCCCCACTACAGCGTGCTCTACAAGTTGTCTCACCTTCAACATGGCCTGCTGATCCTCGCTGTACTCCACGCGCGCGTTCGCCAGGTTGATGACGCCCCGAATGACCAAGTCCTTTTCGTCGCGGAACAGCAACAAGTACGGCCTCCGCACCACCACCCATTTCTTCAACCAGCCCTGCGTCTTCTCCTCCAGGAAATTCATATAGCCCTTCTTTGACACGACGACGCCGACTCGTTCTTCAGTCACCTAAAGAGAGTTTCCGGTTCTTTTTCGTTTCCATTTTCGCTCATTTCTTGTTCCATCTTGAACTGACCTCTGGGACAAGTAAGGCCAATGTGTGCCCACTTGGAGATCTCCTCATACCGAATGGAGCCTCATCTGGCGCCAGATCCGACCGTTTCCCGATTGGCACCTCGGGATCAGAAGAGCGCATCGCCCTGGAAAGTGAGAATACGATGTAAACCTCGATTTTTTTAGTAATTTCCAGGAAACAGCGCCGTAACAAAGATACTAACTTGTCGCTGAGTGGTGATGTGATACCGCTGTCGTCGCTCTCCTTGTTATCTTGCCGGCCAGTCGGAGGCTCTTTGTTGGTCGGGATTTTGCGGTGGATCAGATTCAGAACCTAAAGCGAGTCGTAACGAGCGAGGAGTTAAAATACCTTTCCAACAATGCCCTTCTCCTTCTCATCCATCGTCACCTTGCCTGGAATGGCCCGCACCGGATCGCAGGGAGAAACTGGCGTCTTGGGACCCTGCTAAAAAAAAAAAAAAAAAAAAAAAAAAAAAAAAAAAAAAAAAAAAAAAAAAAAAAAAAAAAAAAAAAAAAAAAAAAAAAAAAGAAAAAAAAAAAAAAAAAAAAAAAAAAAAAAAAAAAAAAAAAAAAAAAAAAAAAAAAAAAAAAAAAAAAACAAAAAAAAAAAATTTGTCACCGGTGCGTGTCAAGAAATTTGACCCGATCCTCAAGCAAAAAAAAATACCGAGCTTTTGCCCTTCTTGAGCTTGTCGCGGAGTCGGAGGAAGAGCCGCACCCTCTCGACTTGCTGCAGTCTGGCCAGCTTCTCCAGCTCCCACTGGTGCTCGAAAATGAGGGAGTCGCCGCGTGGTCGCCACTGTCCCAGATTCTCTTCACCACGAACGTAGGCCGATGACGTATCCAGAACGCGGCGCTGTCGTCGAACCGCACCTATTTTACGGTTCCTTCAAGCCACAAATAAATTTTTTAGTCTGGGTCCTGCCCGCAATTAGACTTTTCGAATCGTTATATTCGCAATGCCGTTGTACAAAACACCATACAAACATTCCGGGTAAACTTTTTCTTGGCAACTCAGGGTCAGCGTTAAAAAGAAGCGGCCGGGTGCACACACCTGGACTACCTGAATCGGAGGCATCTTTCACAGCGATCTCGTACACGCCGGGGACTCGGTTCATAGATGGCGCCTTCGAAATACCGCCGATCAGCGAACGGCAGAACCTAAAAGATTTAATATTTTCCAAAGGTTGAATTTTTCCAATTTGGAGCTTGCTGGGGGATCTGGCAAAGTGCCAGCATTTTCTGCTTTTTATCTTGCACCTATTTCAGCGTATCGTGGAATTCCACTCGGGACCCTACCTGGGCCTTGGGCTGGCTTTCAAGATCTGGCATTCTCTCACAGACTTTCCCATTTTTTGCCATGTTCCTTCACGTTTTGTCGTTCTCTTCAGCCCGTGCTTTTATTTTGTGCACTTGACTTTACAATTGTTTTTTTTCAGCCATGCAACTCTTGTACCTTGCGTTCTTCGCGGCTGTCGCCAGCGCCAGGTTTCAGCGAGCACTCGTGGAAGACCTCGTAGCAGAAGAAGGCTCCGGAATTCGTCTCTATGAGGTAAATTCCTTTTTCCTAGCAGTCATCTCTCTTTTTTTTAGGTCGTCGACGATCTGATCGCTGAGCAGGCCGGACGTCAGCGTCGTGATGCCGACACCGATGCCACGGAGACGACCGAGACTACAACCACCACGACCGCTGCCCCGGCTACTTCCACCACCGTAGCTCCTGCCACCAACTCCACCCTCGAGTGCAAAGCCGTGGCCCCGTGCTCTGACAACGACGACTGCAATGGTGGCACCTGCCTTGGATACTTCCCCGGAAAGTAAGTTTGTTTTTGCTATATGAGGTACTAATTTGGGCGCCGCATTTCTTACATTGTTCATTTTTAGATGCAACTGCCAGGCCTGCATCCACTTCTTCCCGTGCAAGAATGACACCAACTGCGGCGGTCTCGAGGGCGCTTGCAACAACAAGACCAAGGCTTGCGACTGCTTCAAGGTATTTATCGCGCGGATTTATTGTATTCTGTTTCGTAGGCTTTCACCACGGCCGGCTACAAGAGCTACGGCGAGGCGCTGACGAAGATGTGCAACGTGAAGACTTGCAAGGCCAACGAGTGCCATGGACTCTCCTGCCACAAGGGATTCTGCCAGTGCCCTCTGAAGAAGGTCGCCACCAAGAACTAATCCCACCACCTCATTGTGTATTCGTTTTTTATTTTTCATTTTGTGTTTATGGCGACGTGCCGGTGGAATAAATGAGATCTTGAGATTTGCGTAGCATACATCCGGAACTTGGGAACTTACCGGCTAGCTGCGGATATCTTGCTGTCGCGGGCGTAGATAAGTAGACAAAGATCCTTCGTGATGACGGCCGGCTGGCAACATCCCTCGACCTTGAGGAACTTTTTTGGCGCGAGTGGCAGACTAACCTCCATATAGGCTGACAGCGTCATATAGATCTGGTCGCCATAATTGGAAACACGGTTGAGCAGTGGGGAGTTGTGGAGCGAGCTATCCCAAGCCGCCTCGAATTGGAAGAAGGTTCTGAAAGTTTTTGCTACTCCCTTTGCAGGCTTCGCTACCGGTCGTCGTGCGCGAATTCCAGATATGTGCCTGGGAAAAGTCCCAGCGAAAGAACATCGACATCGTCACCATTCCATTCAGGCCCGGCTCTTATCCGTCCGATGACCAACTCTTGGCATTCTTTCCACTTGATGTCGCCCTAAACCAGGTGTGTTGGTTTGATATACATTTCTAAGACACTATTGTAGGATTCGAATAAAATTAAATCCTACCTTCTCATGACAGATGGTGATTTTGATTCTTCGTTGTATGCCCTGATGGAGAAGGAATACGCCGTGGGTTGGTAGCCCTTGCGCGTGATCGACGATAGCTAGGAAAATGGACTGGGTTGGTGAATGACTAACCGGGAACATAATCTCCACTGTTGGCCAATTCGCAAATCTCAAACCAAACCAGGATGTCGTACTTGCATCGGACTGGTGTCGAGCTAAAATATCGATATCTGAGTCTCTGCAGTGTGCATACTTTTGAGTCGGTGCGGGAGCGGTCTTCTTGCTCTTGACGGGTGTTGAGATGACCAGCGATGGTGCCGGGAATAGTTGGCTCGTTGACATTCGACGGCTAAAACATTGTTGATTTCTCCTGATCTTTCTAACCTCATCACTTGGCTGGTCTGGCGCTCAAAGGCGAATCCGGAGGGTTGAGGCTGATAATGGCCGAAGACCTGTAAATTGTGGTATAATAGCGCTAGGGTCTAAAACACGACTCTGTGACTTTAGCTGACCTCAAAGATGATCGGGAAATGATGCACATAGTGAAGGAAGGTGCGACCCATTTTGATGTTAAGATTTTGGACGTGGTCAAAGTTCAGGCCGCTTCGTTGGTTGTTTTTCATGGGCTCGGTGGAGAAAGCCTCGTCGTGCCGGTGTAGGAAGCTAAATAAACAGTTTTAATGAGATCGGCAGGCTCACTTGAACTGGCAGAAGACGTCGGTGTACTGTTCGGAGACCGATGTGGCCTGCAGGACGACGACACGGAAAGAGAAGATTTCATCTTCCTGCATGTGCTTTGGGTATTCGACGTCCAGTTCTTCTAGAATGATTTTTATATGTTCCTTTAAT